ATATTGCCTTTTGTTTTCCCTGAAGTTTCAACTGCCTCTTTTATTTTAAAAATTGTATTCTGGTAATATCTTTATTATGGCTCTATTATTCTGTTCACTTAATCATCCTGTTCTTTGCATGAAATACTTCTACAGTGGGGTCCATTTGCTTTCTAGGCATGCTATAGGGCTGTTTCCTTGAGTTGGGTTTCCTGCATTCCCTCCCCTTCCCTCCCCCCTTTTTTGGTTGGTATGCATCCTCAGGTATATTCCTCATAGTGCCGGTGTGGAGACTGACCTGATTCTTTGTATCACTAGAAGGGACTTTAGTCTGTTGTCACACTTGATTGTTAATTTAGATGGATATAGGTCAATGATAACATTTTCTGTCAAAACTGAAGGCATTGCTCCTTTGTCTTTTACCATGTATTTATTGACAACTCTGTAATCTGATTCTTACACCTTATAGGCAAGCATTTTTTTCCCCTTCTCTGTGATGTTTTTATGATCATCTGATTCTTAGAGATGTGAAAGTTTATCATCATTTGTTTTCATGAGGATTTTTTTCTCTTTTTTCTTAGGACTTACTATATCATTCCAATCTATAGATTCCTATTTCTGAAGCTCTAAGAAAAAGTTTTCTTGGGCCGGGGATTTAGCTCAGGGGTGCTGCTGCCTGCCTCACAAGTGCAAGCAAGAACCTGAGTTTGATCCCCAGTACAAACAAAAAATTTTTTTCTTGTGATTTTTTGATCATTGATACAACTATCTTCTAGTATGGTCCTCAGTGATCCTTGCCTAGTAGTATTAGCGTAGTATTTCTGCCTTGTGCAGTTTTCTTCTACATTACATCAGCACTGGTCTGCTTGACCATAGAATATGGCAGAAGTGACTATATGCTATTTTGAGAGCTATTCTGTGAAAGACATTATGACTTCTGTCTTGGTTGCTCTGTCTATCTTCAAGTACTCATGGGGAGTCCAGCTGCCATGTCATGAGCAGGTCTGTGAAGAGAACTGAGGCTTTTGCCCAACATCCATGTGCATGAGAGTGATGAGACAGTCCTCTGCTAATTAGGCCCTTAGGTGACTATGGCTGACTTGCAATTTGGCAGCAGTTTTAGGAGAGAGCCTATGATCAGCCAAAAGCTAAATTGCTTCCAGACAACTCACCCTCAGAAACTATTAAATAAATGTTTTAAGCCACTGAGCATAGGGGGTAATTTGTTAGTGAGAAATATTATAATATTTTTTTCCTTACATTATATTCTCTTTTTAGGGATTTTAAGTTTAATGTTAATCTCCTAGATGGAGCTCTGAAATTTTTTAGGTCATTTATCATTTTTAAGTGTTTTTTTTTTTTTTTTGGTACTGGGGTTTGAACTTGGGTCCTTTCACTTGCAAGGCAGGTGGCGGAACCAGTGAGCTACATCCTTGGCCCCCATTTATCTTTTTTAATTGTTCTTTTTACTTTACGTCATAACAGATTTCCCTTCTTCAGTATCTTGTTCTTTGTATATAGAAGTTTTGTTTTAAACTTTCTGAATGTGTTTGGAGTTTTGTTTTTTTCTCTCTCAATTAGTGTTTATCTTTTTAAATTACTTTTTCAATTTATTGAGGTCATGTTACTAGTTTTCCTCATTTGCCTCGTTATCCTTATATACAGGGGAGAGGCAAATTGACCCTCAGACTTCAGTTAGGGAGGACAGTAGTCCACTCTGTGTTTGGTTCCCAAATGCTAACACTCATGTCAGAAGCCCCAGCCCCAGTCCTCTCTAACCAGCTTTTTCAGTTTCTTTGGAAAAGAAATTTCCATGTGAAGCCACTTGAGTTCTCTGTTCAGTCAGGGATTAGGGCTGCTAAGTAATGAAGCATATATATATATATATATATTCCTTCAAATAATTACTTTTTTCAGAGTCACCTTACCCAGTGTCTTCTGCCCTCTGTTTCACTGGCTGATTCTGAGCCCAGAGTTGACACTGTAATGGACAGCTAAATTTTCCCTTTTGTGTAACTTTCTCGTAGCATGTAGGTAGTTGTAGCTTTTGTGGCTTTCTTTCATGCTGAAAGCATGTCTTCCTTTCCTCCAATCCTTCAAAAATTTTATTGATATATCTTCTTTGTTGGTGAAACTTTTCCCAACACTTCATTCTTTTCCTGTATTCTTGTGAAACTATTTCTTCATGTATTTCTCTACTAATGAATGAAGGAGAAAGCATGTTCAGCCTGTGGTCTTGAATCAGGCATAGATGCTTGGTGACTGACTTACAATAAAACTGTTGTAAATATTGTCAAGTAGAAAATGCATCTGGTATATCTAACATACTGAACATCATAACTTAGTAATATACTCCACTGTGGAGCATTTGTTTTACTCCCCTGATCACTTGGCTTACTAGGAGCTATGACTCTTTACCACTGTCCAGCATTTTGAGAATATCATACTTTATTTGGTAGCCCAGGAAAAGATCAAAATTCAAAATTTGAAGTATGGTTTTTCTTGAATGTGCATTGCTTTTGCATAGTTGTAAAATTGAAATATCAAGTCAAATGATAAGTTGAGGACTATTCTGTGCTTGGTAATACATATTGTTGTGGGTACAAGGCTAAAATTTCTATTATTACAAAAACA